GATGAATGACTATAATACAGACCAGGACTTTCTCTCTCTCTCTCTCTCTCATGGGAGGGAACAAGGGCCAATATACCAGAATAGGTCCACTAACTTCCTTGTATTTTATCCAAATAGGAGAATCAGGGGCCAGAAAAATGAACACCCATCAAATCCGACCCTCCCTGGCCTTATCTTAAACTTGCTCTTCAACCTGGTGTTAATTACCCTTGGAGGAAAATAAGCCAAAACCAGCGGCTCGAAAAGGACAGATAAAATCTAAGTAAGAGACGATCTGCACCACTCTTCCTTCTTTAAAGTGCCCCAAGATAACTGCTCTCGGGCTAGGAGTCTAGCTCAATGGCAAAGTGCCTGCCTAGTCTGCAAGGCTAGCTATGCCAATTGCCTTGATCCAGTTATTACACTGTATACATAGAGTGAAATGTCCCACTGTACCCCATAAATATGTATAATTACTATGTGTCAAAAGTAAAAATATTGGGCTGGGGATGTGGCTCAGTGGCTAAGTGCCCAGATTCAATCTCTGGTACCCCCCCAAAAAAAGGTAAAAATATTTCTAAAAACTATTAAAATTGGATAACTATAGAAGAATAATAAATATAAATAAATGCACAGTCATTCTTCAGTATTTGCAGGGTTGACTCCCTGACTCACCCTCAAGATACCAAAATCTTCAGATTCTCAAGTCCCTCCTATAAAAGAGTGCTGTATTTTATGTAACCTACACACACAGCCTCCCAAATACCTTAAATCATCTTGACTACTTATAATACCTTGTGCAATGCAAATTCTACATAATAGCTGTTAGACTATCATTTGGGGAATAATGACAAAGAAAAAAGTCCTTATGTATTCAGTACACGCACAAACTCACTCATGCCCTCCCCCCTCCCCCACTAGAATTTTTTTTTTTTTTTGGTACCAGGGATAGAACCCAGGGGTGCTTAACCACTGAGGTACTCCCCTAACCCTTTTTATATTTTATCTTGAGACAGAGTCCAGCTAAGGTGCTTAGGGCCTCCCTAAGTTGCTGAAGCTGATCTTGAATTTGCTATCCTCCTGCCTCAGCCTCCTGAGCTGCTGGGATGGATTATAGGCATGTGCCACCACTGGGCCTGGTTCCCTAGAATTTTTTTTTTTGATTTAAGATCAATTGACTCCATAGCTGGTTGAGTCTGTGGATGTGAAGTCCTCTCTGAAACTAATCACCAGCAGATACCAAGGGACAACTGGACTTTAATTGGGTCAACTGCGCGTCATGTCAATTACACCTAATAGAGTCAGTGCATGTGCTCATGGCCACATGCACTGAATCGAAACAGCATGGACAAGTGAGACACAGGACAGCTGGGGGTGCTGGGCTCAACATATTTTCAGGTCTCTGTCTCATGCGATGAACACAGACAGATACCAACTGAAATTCCTTGTTGAAATGTGCGTGTGTGTGTGTGTGTGACTGGATTTGAACGGGGCCTCACACATATTAAGAAAGTGCTTTACCACTGAGCGACATCCCCAGTCCTTTTTACTTTTTATATTGATAGAGTCTCACTGAGTTACTAAGTCTGAGCTTTGAACTTTCAATCCTCCTCCTCAGCCTCCTGAAACTGGAATTACTGGCATGCACCACTGCTCCCAGCCCCATTTTTGCTTTTTAAAATGCACATATACCTTCCCGTACATGAGGGTGAAGAGAATACTGAAAGAAAAGCAACAAAGACAAACCAAAGTAGAATTATGAGCAATTTCTATCTCAAGATTTTTCCACACTTTACAAATTCCTCTGCAACTTATCTTTATTACCTTTATGATTGGAAGTCAAACACACTAGCTTCAGGGCTGCGGGTTGTACGAGGTGGTCCAGGGCTACCTGGAAAGCCCTAAAACTCAAAGGTGCAAGACTTGGAGCATTATCTTTGATTTTCTATCAATAATGGAAGATGGGTGCCTATATTCCCAGTCACAGGAGAGGCTGAGGCAGGAGGATCACTTGAGCCCACAAATTCAAGGCCAGCCTTAAGCAACATAGCTACACCCAATCTATAAAAAAAAAAAAAGTCTAAATCTGTATCTTAAATTCTCCAATCATGGGAACCTGAAAATAGATGAAAGTCTATTGAAAGCAAAGGGGATTCTTTAAAAATAATGAAATAAGAAAATATTTATTCCACCTAACGTGTTCAGCGACATAAAATAAAAATCAAATTCTCTGACTCAAACACTCTTAAAAGTCCTTTACACCCTGATATAGTTAGGTCAGTCAGCTTTCCATTACTATAACTAAAATATCTGACAAGAACAACTTAGAGAAGGAAAAGTTTATTTTGAGCTCATGGTTTGGTGCTGGGCTCCACATATTTTCAGGTCTCTGTCTCATGGGGGTGAGACAACTCCATTGCCAACTCCATTGCTCTCCTGAGCTGAGGCAGACCATCAGGGCAGAAGAAGGGCATGGTGGGGGAGAGCCACTCCGTTCATGGCAGCCAGGAAGGAGAGAGAGACAAAAGCCAAGCACAAGATACAGTCCAAGGCCACAGCTCCAGTGACCTACATCTTCTTGCCAAGTCCCCACTTGCCTACAGGAACCACCCAGCAGTCTGCTCAAATTACTATTCCATCAAATGGACAAGTCCACCAATGAGCTTACAGCTCTCATCATCAAATCGTTCCACTTAGGAGCATTCCTGTATTGCCTAACACGGAGTTTTTCAGGGGACATTAAAGATCCAAATGGTAATAAAAGTCCAAAGAGGATTCTGAAGTCTGCGAAGCTGGTTTCTGGTCCCAGCTCTTCTGTTAGCTGTGCAGCCAGGGGCAGAGTATTTAAGTCCCTGAGCTTCGGCTAATGGGAGAATGAAAATACCTCCAAAGTACTGTTACTCTGAGGTGCTGGTGAAGGTCAACACCAGCACCAGCAAGTGTTTTGTTTGAGATGAGGTGTCTACTCCTGGGCTCAAGCAATCCTCCTACCTCAGCCTCCCAAGTATCTGGGACTACAGGAGCACATGCCCAGTGTGTGAGTATATTTTAGCTATGCACTCTCAGTAAGGGAGATACTGCCCTCAACAGGGTGAAAGACAAAATTAGTTTGGAAGAAAGACTAAATTTGTATAAAAACAAGAATGCCCTTTCATCACCAGTGTCTCAAGAACGCATTCATTATAAGCCAGGCACAGTAGCGCAAGCCTGTAATTCCAGCTGAGGCAGGAGAATCACAAGTTCAAGGCCAGCCTGGGCAATTTGGCAAGAGCCTGTCTCAAAATGCAAATTAAAAGGGCTGGAAAAGTAATTCAGTGGTAAGCATTTCTGATTTTTAAATGTGGGTTCAATTTCCAATACTAAAAAGTGGTAATAATAATAATGTGAGCCCCAAGCCAGTCATGGAGGTGATAAACCTTCTAGTAGCCACAATCAGAAAAAAATAAAATTAACAATTGAGGTTGATTTTAATACATTTTATATAACCCAATATATCCATGTTATGTCAACGTGTACTTGGTAGGAAAAAATTAATAATCTATTTCAGGTTATTTTATTTTTTTTGTACCAAGTCTTTGAAATCTGGTATATACTTTACACACAGTACACCGCAAATCAGACGAACCACACTTAAGTATTCACATGTGGTCAGTGCACAGCTCTGAAACTGCAAAAATAATTGAACATCCCTTCTGTGTGCTCACAGGAATGAGTCCCAATGACAAATTTACCTCTGATTTGGTCTCTCAGTCTCCAGATATGAATGACCAAAATACCCAATCACAGCATCCATCACTTACTACCTCCATGTACAACCTAGAATTGGCCTTTAGTTCCCCCGTGTACAATCTAGAACTGGCCTTCAGTCTCCCCAAGTGCAATCTAGAATTAGCTGTCCGTTCTCCACAGATGTCCTCAGAATCATTCAGGATATGCCCAAGTCCTACAAAAATACCCCTCCAACAAATCATTACTCAGGCACCCATGAAGGATCCCCCTACTACAGCAAGCTAAAAAACACACAATTAACTAATCTATTTGTCTACTGGAGTTCCTAGTGATCTCTAGGTGGCAAGGAGTTCAATTGCCTTGGTAGATTTACTTGGAACAGCTTTCTCACTGTCTCTTAATTGGGGTGAACATATTCAAATCCATGACTTTCTCTACACTTTCACAGTACAGGGACCAAGGGCTTCCATCCACGTGATGTTTTACTTAAAAGCTCAACCTAGTAGTATATTTAGACTGGCTTCAAACATAAATGCAAAGAAAAAAATGAACACTTTTAAAAGTAAAAAGCTCAGTTTCCCAGGAGATGACTAGATGTTTATATTCTGAGAGGGTTACACAGAGTTTCCTGGGGGCAAAGGCACATCCAAGGGCACCATCTTAAACAAGCAGGGTTGAGTTTATACAGCGGGTATTTGAGTCCTCCGTGCAGCCTCTCCTGACTCATATGATTCCAGCAACCAGGCACACATACTGCAGGAGTGGGACAGAAGAGTCTCGGGAGATTTGGGGGGACATGAGAATAGAGAAGTTTGGATTGTCCTACGTCATCCTACAGGGATGGCCCCCATTGCTTCACCTTGCCCTGGGACTCAGCAGCAAATTTTTAAATATGAGAAACCTGTCCCTAAATCAGACATGTAATGAAAACATCTAACTTGAAAGACCACTACAAAATAAAATAAACAGTATCAAACCAAAGAGGCAATTTTGAAGAGACAGAGACCATGCATAGTTTAAATAAACATTTTAAAAAGAAATCCTGGGCTGGGGTTGTGGCTCAAGGGTAGAGTGCTCACCTAGCACGTGCGAGGCCCTGGGTTCAATCCTCGGCACCACATAAAAATAAATAAACAAAATAAAGGTATTGTATACAACTAAAAAATAAATATTAAAAAAAAAGAAAGAAAAGAAATCCTGAGGCTGGAGTGTAGCCCAGAGGTAGAGCACCAGCCCAGCAGGTACAAGGCCTTGGGTTCCATCTCCAGTTCCACACACACCAAAATTCTATGCTGACTTCAGCGGCACAAATACTAAAATTGGAACTGTATAGAGAGGACTGGCAGGACCCCTATGCAAGGATGTCATGCAAATTCCTAGGCATTGCATATTCAATAATAAAAATAAATGCTAATAGTGAGAGACCAAAAATATTGCAGCCAGGCGGGGAAAAGGGATACATTCAAAAGAGAGTATATAGATACGCAGCCCCCAATATGGGTTCCTAGAATTTTTTTTTCTTTTTTGGTACAGGAGACTGAACTCAGGGGCACTTGACGGCTGAACCATATCCCCAACCCTATTTTGTATTTTATTTAGGGACAGGGCCTCACTGAGTTGCTTAGCACCTAGTTTTTTGCTGAGACTTGGTTTGAACTCACAATCCTCCTGTCTCAGCCTCCCAAGCGGCTGGGATTACAGATGTGTGTCACTGCACCTGGCAGTTGTTAGAATTAAAAAAAAAAAAAAAAGTAGTAATTAATATGAAGTATAGACTTGAGAATATTTTTCCAGAAAATAGAGACAAATACAGTGCAACAAAAAATGAGGGAGGAGGGATTTTTAAATCATCTAGAAGGTCTAACATCTGAATAATAGTAATTCTAGAGGAGAACAAAGAAAAACAAGAGAATTAGAAAAAAAAAATCTCAGAAATGAAGGATATGGGTTTCTAGCTGGAAGAGCCCAGCAAGTTGGATGGAAATGGTTTCACAAGATTTGTGTGTGTGGGCAGGGGGTGCTGGGGATTGAACCCAGGGCCTTGTGCATGCGAGGCAGGCACTCTACCAACTGAGCTATATCCCCATCCCTTCTCATGGAGATTTACTGCTCATAGGTGCTGGAGCAGACTGGAGGACTCTGGGAGCCACAGGAAGGATTAAGACTTAGAAGGGCATGGGGTTCCACAGCAGCACCTCCACACAGATGTCCCAGGTAGAATCCTAATGTGCCCAAACACGCCAAAGAGAAATGAGCTCTGCGATTCAGCGAGACCCTGTCTCTAAATAAAATGCAAAAACACCCAGGACCAAGACTTTGACAAGCACGAGGAAAACACTGTACTTTGGTGGAAAGTTCCTTCATGGGGTGTCCTGGTCTGCTTTGGGCAGCTGTGGTTAATCACTATACAGCAGTAGCTTCTAGACATTGGGTCTTGGGAAGCAGACTCCTCATTTCTCATGTCTGTCCATAGGTGGTGAAAGGGAGCGAGACAGGTCTCTGGGTCCCATTTATAAAGCCACTCAATCCACCAGGAGGGCTCTGGCCTTAAGACCTAAGTTACCACCCAAAGGCGCTACACACAGTTAGGATCACTTGGGGGTAGGATTTCAACATATGAACAGGAGTGGGTGACATAAATATTTAGTCCGTAACACTGAGGTCCCGGGCTTAGAATGGCTCTTAAGGCAAACCATTCTGCTGCGGAATATGAATCTTCTCCTTTATTTAGACTCAACAATCATTTGGAGAGTGGGGATTCTCTTACCCTTTCCTCTAGCTACTATATTGTGTAAGGCTGTCCTGCTCATGATTATTTCAATAATGATAATGATTAAATCATCTAGAAGGTCTAACATCTGAATAATAGTGATTCTAGAGGACAACAAAGAAAAACAAGAGAATTAGAAAAAAATAATTTATCAGAAATGAGGCCAGTACCAAAAGGGTGACTGATAATTCAGGGGCTAGAAACACATGAACACACATCAATATTTTCTTTTTCCTTGATAAGAGGGCTCTTCTATACAACCAGTCACTTACTTCTGTGTCAATGATTTGCCTCTTTTAACCAATTTCTTCAGTACACAGTATTTGGTTCAAACCAAGATATTCTCATGGTTTAAAGAGTTTGAGAAGACGGATGGCACAAGCCTGTGATCCCAGCAGCTGGGGAGGCTGAGACAGGAGGATTGTGAGTTCAAACCAGAGCCAACTTCAGCAACTCCGCGAGGCCCTAAGCAACTCAGTGAGACCCTGTCTCTAAATAAAATACAAAAAAGGGCTGGGGGTGTGGCCCAGTGGTTAAGCACCCTGGGTTCAATCCCTGTTTTTTTTTTTTTTTAGAAATAAACTCTTCTTAAAAACTGGGAAAATGGAAAGGGAACCCCAGCTAGGCTTGGCAAGATTCCAACCAGTAAGTTCTTATTGGAAAGAGCATAGGAGTCTGGGCACTTTTCTCGTAATGCCAGGCAGCTTATTTTCTCTGGAGATGTTTTGCTAGAGAAGAAAAGGTGAAAAAAGACGTGATGGATGTGTTGGATTCTTAGAGGGCTGCCGTGTGGAAAGGGGGAGCTGGTTCCACGGAGTTCCAGAAGGCAGTGCTGGGCAGAGAAAGGGCAGAGGGAGGCACATTTCTACTCCCGGAGAATGAACCACCTCCTTTTATGGAGAAAACTCCCCCAAATCTTCAAGTATACAGCAGAAGAGCCTCCTGCTTGGGGGCAGGGGCTGGTGACGTCAGTGTCAGAGCTCCTTTCTACTCAGGCTGCTCGGTCCCAAAGGGGACTTTTTCCAGTCGGACAGTCACGGAGGCGAAGCTGTCTCAGGCTCAGCTGAGTCCCCTCAGTTTCATGCGCTGAAGTCTGAATCCGCGGCACCTTGCAGGGAGGACCTGAAACTATGAGCCAACTGTGGGGGCCCTAATCCAGTCCAACTTTTGTGTCCTTATGAGAAGACATTTGGACACACAGACACCAGGGATGCACAAAGGAAGGACCATGCGAGGACACAGCAAGAAGACAGCCATGTGCAAGCCAAGGGCAGAGGCCTCGGGGAACCACACTGGCCAGCCTCCTGACCTTGGACTTCCAGCCTTCGGGACTGTGGGAAGACAAAGGTCTCCTGTTAGGCCACCAGCTAGTGTCCATCACGGCAGCCTGGCAAATAACTCAGCAGGGTGACGGCTTCGGGAGAGGTATCTTCTCAACCCTGCATGTCCATGGGAAGGCCCGTTAAAGCAAACAGTTCAACGATAAATTAAATCTAGCACATAGGGAATTTTCACCTGAACAATGAAGGTCTACACTATTAAGAGGGTGAGAGACAACTTCATACCACTCTGTATTGACAACCTGAACTACAAAAGCAATTTGAGAAAACTGAAGGAATGGGACTCAGGAACGAGCCTTAATGGATAGGCTAAAAAGCTGAATTTTAACATGATCAAAGCATGTTAGATGTATGTTCAAATGTGCCAAAATGAAATCCAGTATCTGTATAATTAAAATGCACCAATTAAAAAAAAAAGATGAATTTTAAGCCCAGAAAGCACATCTTTGGACATTATCAAAATATCCTTTTTATAAAATATAGGGACGTTGTGTTCCAGAATGTTTCACTGCCAGCACCACTGGGAAGTTACCACAGGGGGAGAAAGGGGCACCACTCACTCTGAACATGAGGCAGTCTTTGAGGAAAACCTAAAGGATTTTCATTAAGTAAGTAAAATGGCGGAGGAGGTCTGAACTCCAAATTCCAATGTTGAAACTCATGGCCAAGGTGGTGGTGTTAGAGGCGGGACCTGTGGGAGGTGGTGAGGGCAGAGCCCTCCCGCTTGGGGTCAGTGCCTTTGGGAAGAAGCCTAAAGGAGTTTAGGGGCCCCTTTGCCTTCAGCCACGTGAGGGCACACAGATGGCGCCTCTGTGAGAAAGTAGGTCCCCAAGGCATAGAAGCTGCTGGCACCTTCACCTTGGGTTTCCCAGCCTCGAGAACTGTACGCAGTAAGTTTCTGTGTTTATAAATTATGTAGTCTAAGGTATTTTGTAGTAGCAGCCAATGAACCAGGTCAATGCTAAAATAATTGAACATTTCCATTATTAGCTTAGTCACAATTCAAGAGCATTCATCATGGGCCCCCCTGATCCCTTAAAAGGAAAGGGCTAGCCAGGCAGAGTGGCACATAATCCCATTGACTCTGGAGGCTGAGGCAGGAGGATCCCAAGTTAAGAGGCCAGCCTCAGCTCCTTAGTGAGGTCCTGTCTCAAAAAACACAAAGGACTGAGGATGTAGCTCAGTCATAGGAAGCCTCTGGATTCTATCTCCAGTACTGGAAGGGGCTGAATCTTGGCATGTTATTTGGGCAAACCTACAGGCCAATTCACAATGTAGTCTGGCTGTTAAATGCCCCTCCAAGGCCCATGTGTTAAAGGACTGGTCCCTCGTTGGTGCTATGGGGAGGTTCTATACACCTTTAGGAGGAGAGGCCTAGTAGGGGGTCCTTAGGACATCGGGAGCATGCCCCTGAAGGGGACTGTAGGACCCAAGTCCTTTCCTGTTCCTTTTTTTCTTCCTGTCCAAGAGGTAAACAATTTGCTCTGTCATGTACTCCCCACCACTGTTTTCCAGCAAAGTAATGGGTCTGCCCAAACTTGGGATGGAACCATAAGCCAGAAGAAACCTTTTATCTTCCTAAGTCAATTACCTCCAGTGTTTTGTTAGAGTGATGTAAAGCTGACTAACATACTCATTTATGCTTCCCTCAAGGGCAATGCTGCAGAGCACCAACCCTGATGGAGAAAGGGTTGGGTAGCCCTAAACTAGAGAGGTGTATAGATAAAGCCAATAGCCTGTGGGCCAAGGATGTGGCATTTATGGACATTTTCACAACAACCTCTCTTCCACAGTCCTGACCTTCAAAGAAGTCAGCAGAACTGCAGGAGAGAGATATGATACCTGTGGTCATATTTATAAAACCATCTATCTCTTTTGTTTTCCTATCTGGATGATTATGTATCAAGTTATTCTCTTTTATAAAAAATTAGTTATATAGGACAGCAGAATGCATTTTGATTCACTGTACACAAATGCAGCAAACTTTTCGTTTCTCTGGTTGTACATGATGTAGCATTGCACTCTATGTGAAGTCATACATGTACCTGGGTAATAATGTCCATCTCATTCCACCATCTTTCCTGCTCCCATTCCCCCTTCAAGTTATTTTTGGATAAAGTCTCCACTCTTCGACATTTATTTCCAATTAAATTAAAACTTCAAATCTAGAGAATAGCTTTTAAAATCAGATTAATAAGAAAAATCATAGAACTATTTTATTAAAAGCATAGTGAAATTACCAAGAGGATTCCCACCTGCCCAAGATCACTTGGTCTTCAGTAGCT